TTACCGATTCCACTTTCGACGCCGATATCCGCTACACAACAATAAATACTTATTTATTTACTTATTTTACTTACAATAAAATTCGATCCTTTTTACTTAGATGGGCTGTCCCGTCTACTTGTTAAAGTCCTAATGTATTTTATTCTAAATTCTTTGATTTTTTTTTAAGGACAGCTTCTGATGTATGCTGATACCATCTGTTGGCATTAAACAATGCAAACAGTTGTTAAGCAGCAAATGAAATCGCTTGCAATTTTTCAGTGCCGCGCGCCCGCTTTAGCTTCAAAGGCCTGTCTACCGAAGTTGGGGGGGGGCGTCTGTGCTGATAGAGCCTTACATCTTGACCAAAATTAACATTCTTTAGCAAGTGTTACAACAAGTAGGAATTAAAACATTCTAAAATGAATAAAAAAGTATGATTTGGAATTAAAATGAAATTAGTGATGCCAAATAAATTGAATGCATTATTTACATTATTTGGACTGTTATCCTAATCTTCATTGCCATATTCACAGCGTTTCGGCCGTTGTACGCTTCGGCCTTCTTCAGGTGATTGGAATTTCGAATGGAACACTTTATTTCGTCCACCGGAGTAGATTGTTCTAGTTCCAGATTGTGATAGGGTAGTTTTGTCCAACAGCGAAACATCCTATAAACCCAAAACATTAGAGTCAGATTTAGACTCTCATGTGGATGTCATGAATGGCATCCAACTATTCTGAAGCGTCTACACTATCAGCTATAAGAACTTGAGTCCTATTCTTAAATAGCTTCGTCTGATCGAGACTCTCCTGTGGATGTCATACTTGAAATTCATCCCGTTTAGAAGTGTCTAAACTATCAGCTATTAAAACTCGTATCATGTTCCTAAATAGCCTCGTCAGATGTAGACACTCATGTGGATGTCATTAATGACATCCAACCGTTCAGAAACATCAAACAATCAGCTATAAGTACTCGAGTCATGTACTTAAATAGCTTCGTCAGATCTAGGCACTCATGTGGATGTCATGCATGGCATCCAAACTATTCAGAAATGTTTATACTATCAGTTACAAGAACTTGTGTCATGTTCTTAAATAGCCTTGCCAGATATAGACTTTCATATGGATGTCATGCATGGCATCCATACCGTTCAGAAATGTCTAAGCTATCAGCTATATAGAACTGTCTTTTCTTTCAAATCAATGATTACAAATAGCACAAGCGAATGAATCTTCCAATCTTAAAGAAGACAATCTAATATCAGATGTTATAGACTGGCGCTACAAATTTACGAAAAAATGAACTTTACCAAATAACATAACTCCATCCTTTGAAAACTTAAACAGCAACAACAACTGAAATGGATAGTATATGTAATTAAAAAGGAAAATAATGATATAATCAAACTTTTAGAGTTTCCAAATTTTCTTAAAAGGTTATGAAGGAAACTCACATCAATTATAAGCGTGAAAATAATGAACCTCATAAAGATTTTATAAATATCAAGCAACAGGAATGCTAAATTTGCTGTCAATGAAAAGCGAATATTTCCTGTAGGGAAACGGTTAATCTCGTCGTATCTATCTATCTATCTATCTATCTATCTATCTATCTCAACCTGTTTATATCTATCTATCTATCTATCTATCTATCTATCTATCTATCTATCTATCTATCTATCTAATTAAGATGTTGACATCCCAGGATGATTTAAACGAAAGGCTAGGAAAGAAACTCCTATCAATACTTGAAAAGTCTATTTTCCTTAAAATCTGTTCTAAGAGAAAGATTTCAACCTCTCATTAGCGCTTACTGTTCGTTTAATGAATGTCGAATGTTCCCTGTATGGAAACGGTTGTCCTCCTCATTATCATCACTGTTCCTACCTTTGCTGGTGCAGTTGGGGTAATAATAACCACAAATTGTAAATCCAGGAGAGACGTTTTTCTAGGCAGACCCTTTCTATTATATTAAAAGCTCAGAGTTATGCGGTAGCTTGAAAATGTCCTTGTGCCAAATGTGCAAGTATCCATTTTATTTTTTGATTAATTAAAATTTTTATTAGTCACAACAGAATGCGGAATGTCATATACTGAAAATTCTTCTTTTCTTCTATAAGTCGTGTTCCTTCAATACTATTCTTTGTCCTTTGTAGTTCTTAATAAATGTTGTCTTTTTGTTATCTCTCCTAAACCTTGCTCTCCCATCCATTTACTCAAATTCGCTAGGTAGGTTATGAGTTATACCTCTGTCTCTCTTGTCTTGTTACTCAAGCTGTTTAGGTAGGTCATGATTTGTTTTCCTCTGGCTCTCTTGTCTTCAATCTGCCCTGTTAGTGTTAAATTTTCCAAGCCCTCTTTCCTCATTATTTGTTCTAGAAATTTTGACTGTCACTACTTGATGTTAAGTATAAGTGTACTTTTTGTTTTCATTTTCTCTAAAACGTTGTCGTTGTTCACATGTTCAGTCCATGGTATTCTCAGCATCCTCCATAGAACCACTTTTCTGTTGCTTTAAGTCTCTTCTTCATCGGTGAGGAGATTGTCAAGCATTTACTGCCATGTAGGAAGTTTCTTAATACTTTGCTTGGCATTTGGAAGGCACCTTTGTTAACTTTCCTAAACCTTGATTCACCATCTATTTGCTCAAGTATTCTTCTTTTATGTGTCATATTCCTTCAGGACGCTGGCGATCATGGCTCTCCACATTTTCTGTAGCTCTAAATAAATTTTATCTTTTTGTTAACTTTCCTAAACATTGATCCACCACCCATTTACTCAAGCTCATTCTTCTTCTATGTGTCATATTACTTCAGGACGTGGGCGATCATGGCTCTCCACAATTTCCTATCTTTTGTAGTTCTTAATACTTTTTGTCATTTTGTTATCTCTCCTAAGCCTTACACTGACATCCATTCACTCGAGCTCGCTAAGTAGGTTATGATTTGTTTTCTTCTGTTTCTCTTGTCTTCAATCTGAGTGTCGAATTTTCCAAGCCCTCTTTCCTCATTATGTGCCCTAGAAATTTCAGTTGTTGCTTCCGGATGTTAAGTACAACTCCTTTTTATTGGTATGTAATTAAACATTTCAGATTGGTAACTAAACTATCAGCTGGGTATATAATGCGTTAATTGCATCTCTTGAAGAGGATTAAAACCATTCTGAAAAGTATCACTTACCAAGCAAATATTTATAGACTCAGATAGAAACGACCAGTATTTACCTATCCGTGATCCAAGTAAATCCAACTTTCTACATTAAATAATCCAACAAGAGTTGATAATTCATCAAATCAACCAAAAGATTGGCAAGGGTCATTGTATGGCTTGAATCAGTGCCAACACTGCATACTAGGCAAACTGGACGATCGCCGTGGGAAGGGATAGCCCAACCGTGGCCTGTGAGCCACGTGTTGCTCATTCAGATTTAAATGGCGATAATTAAGGAAGAATCAATATTATTACTTTATTCCCGCAATTATAAATAATGACTGTGAAAAAATGGTTGTAAATTAAGCAGGATTTACACCCTACGCATGTTATAATGCTCGACATCACTTTAGAAAGTTTTTTTTTTTTTTTTTTTTTTAAATCAGTACAAACATCAAAGATCACTCCAGAGTTTTGAAAAAGAAATCAGCTGAGGCTGATCAACCCGGGGAAGGACATAAAAATTCAAAGCGGCTTGGCATACATCGTAACAATGTCGTATCCTTCGCTCATAAATTGAAAGAAATTAGTATTTTATCAATGCTTGCAAGATAGGCTGCACCAAGGAGCATTTCAACATGAAGGCTAACTAAAATCACAGGTTAAGCAACTTCGATCTTGATCAGTACTTCGATGGGTGACCGCTTGAAAATACCAGGTGCTGTAAGCTTGGACAGTGGCGTAATGAATAATAGCTCAGAATTGGTAATCGATGTGCCGAGTTCGAATTCCAGTTGGGTTCATTATATACCTTTGGGAAAATTATGAATCCACCTCTTCTCCTCCAGCTATAGGTTAATTAATAAAACTTGTATCACTAAATCCTTATTTAGATATAAAAATATTTAAAAAATTTTACACTCTAAAAATAATTTCTTCAAAGGGTTGATAAGCCGTAAAAAAGGATCAATAAAATCACAAGTCAGCCCAAATATTGATTATAAATGTAATCCTGACAAATCAGAAGAACCTTGGAGCAGATTATGTTTAGGTGAGGGGGGTAAAAATTTTCATTTATACCTTTAGATCAATGTCAATATTTAAATGACCAAAGGTCAGAATACTGATTTGGAGAAGGTTTTTGTCGCCTGAGTTCATCCTTCGAATCTACAAATCAACCATTCGTCCTTGCACTGAATACTGCTGCCATATATGGTCTGGTGATCCCGCTGTTCATCTCGAGGTCCTCGACAAAATCCAGAGATGGATATGCAACGTAGTTGGTCCTGATCTGGCATACCGTCTGCAGTCGCTATCTCACAGACGTGCTGTGACTTCCCTCTGTCTTTTCTACAACTACTTTCATGGCAACTGCTCCGACGAGCTATTTTCACTGGTTCCCAAACTGCATGAATTTAAGCATGCTACTGGGTTGGCATCTCGGTCCCACCCTTACACTGTCGAAACGGCTAAATGTAGCCATCACTTCTACTCCAACAGCTTCTTATCTCGAACCTCCCGTAGTGGATCTCCCTTCCTATCACTTGCTTCCCTGATAGCCATAATCTTCAAATATTCAAATGTAATGTCAATCGACATCTACTGATGCCTTGACCTTGATCTTTGTCCTTCTCTTTATCCTTTTCGCAAAGATTCCTCTTTACTCTTACTCTCACTCACAGAAACCTCTTGCGTGCTAGTGCCACTCCCGCCTTGCTTGGGGTGATTTGCTTAAAAAAAGAAGTGGAACGAGCCCAGAGTATTTATCCATCCGCACTTGATATACATCTAAATAATTCGTGGAACATTGAACTGACAAAGATTGCACAGGTGGGGATTGCACGAAAAAAGTGAAAGACGTCTATTAATGAAGTCTTTCTCTATCACTTTTTCTCTCTTTTCCCTTCACCTTCTTTCCCCTTCCTCCAATAGGCTATTCTACATGGCGGGGTAATGGATAGCGGCTCAGACTGAGGAATCGGAGAGCCGAGTTCGAATTCCAGTCAAATCCATTACTCTTGGGAAAAGTATGAATCCTCTTCTTCTCCCACCTCCAGCTAAATAGCAGGACAGACTGGGTTCTATAGCCTTGGATGGCAACTGGTCTACCGTAGAAAGAACTACTATGAGGAAAAATCTGCCTCGTCAGTCATGTATCAAAAGATGCACGATCGCCTGTATCTGACTGAATCTACCAGACCTCTGCTTCTCTTCAACATCTCTTTTTCTTTCTCTGAAAGAAACCTAATGGCATTGTGCTTACATAAACAGCGAACAAATGAAGAGATTTTTGGTGAGAAAATCATGGCACAAAGGCGCAAACTGAATTAACATTGATGAATGATGCTGATGATACAATACATGGGTGCACCTCCAAAATTCTCGCTGAAGAGAAAGATAAAACACCTTGAATAACTAAGAGAAAAGCATGGAGTTTAAAAATACAGTTCAAATGAGTAGAAACTAGAAACATTGATTGCATAATCTTTGTTTTGTGGCTTCTTTTGATATTCAGGCCATAATAAGTTTCTACTTCGATTGGACAAATTTTTGAACTGATTCAGTCTTTCTTATCAAATCGCGAAGTGAAAGTTGTCTTGAATGGCCACTCTTCTAGATCCTTTTGCATTCATGCAGGTCCTTGTATAGTCCTGGGTATGAAGATAAACTGCATCCGACAGCAGGGCTTCTGATCGGAAGATTGGAGGTTTTGAGGAGTGTGGACTTACTTTTAATTGCTGTTGTTCCCAGGTCCATCCTGACCCAGGGTGGTAGCACCTGTTAGGGTCCCAGCTATAAGCAAATAGTGAACACTTAAACCAAAATAAAACACTATGAAAGTATGAAATTAATTTTTTATAGTAAAAATATCAGCAATACATTTTTATATCAAAAATTACCAATAATACTTTTAGTAAAATTACCAACAATACGTATAGCAAAATCGCCAGCAATACATTTTATATTAAGATATACCAACCATATATTTGATAGTAGAATTACCAACAAAACGATCAATAATATATTTTATCTGTAGTTGAGGGCATACAATTGTATTCAAAATATCTAGATTTCTGCATTAAATAACCCATAGAGGTTGATATGCCGCTAAACAATAGCAACCAATAATCCTTGGACCTATGCTTTTTCTAATTTTCATCAATGACCTTCCTGATCATATCAGTTCTCAAATCGGTATGACATTGTTTTCGTGCAATCATTTTCATTGGGCTTATGAGTAACAATATATTGAAAGAAAAATTATCTGGAAAGAAAGAGTCGGGAATAAATCAAGATTTTTTATATACTGAGGGGGTTACTATTTACTGCTGGTTTAATAGTAAGCCTGATTGGTTCGATAAGGTCAACAATGACCTACACTCTGCTGTTAACTGAGACAAGAAATGGCTTGTTTTCATTTTAATGTCCCCGAAGACGAAACTGCTCTCTATTAAACATCTGAGATATCCTTTTCTGCCTTTCATCAACACGGCTGATGCTAACCTCCAAGAGAATGTTTCGTTGCATCATCTTGGGCTAACGTTTTCTGTTGAAAGATTAAATCGAACCAATCGCTAGATCTACTGCTAGAAAGGTTGGTTCACTAGACAATTTTTCTCGACAGAATCCATTTAACATATTTATAAGTCCATGCTTTGAATATTGATGCCATAGCCTGTTATATGTTTTGACAAAATACAAAGAAGAATCTGCAATATTATTGGTCCTGACCTGGCATCTCGGCTTCAGTTCCTTTCTCACCGCCGTAAGACAGTTTCACTGTCACTTTTTATATAAATACTTCCATGGTAATTGTTCTGATGAACGTTTCTCTATGGTTCTCAGGATCTTATGAATTTAAGCGCAGTACTAGATTGGCAAGGCGGTCTCATTATTTTACAGTTGAAGTTGCTAGATGTAGCCGTAAGTTCTATGATAGTATTTTCTTCTCTCACACTTCTCACTTGTGGAACTCTCTTCCCGCTTCATGCAATGTCAACTGTTACCTTCTGTTTTCTTGATTCCTCTTCTTAAGGTTTTTATTCTTTCTCACTTCGTAACCCCTTGCATTTTAATGACTTTACTGCTTTGCATGGGGTGAAATGATAAAAAATTATTGTTCCAGATTTTATTTGAGAGTTTTTTTTTAACTAAATCATCTGGCCCGCTAATGTTGGTACACTGTGTCTTGCTTGACAAACTTACTCGAATCTGTTTTGAATCTTTATAAGTCTACCAATTGGCCGTGCATTGAATATTGTTACTATTTCTAGTCTGGTAATCCTGCTATGGATCTAAAGTTTCTGGACAAAACCCAAAGAAGAATCTGCAATATTATCCGTCTCGACCAGGCATCTCGGCATCAATCATTTTTCCATAGCTTCCATGTGCCTATTCGATAGAACGTTAGAGCTCCTTGAGATAATTTTCAGGATGAAGACTATCATGTGTCCATAAAAACAATAAGCATAAAGTTTGAAGTTGGTGTGTATCATATAGGAATAAATTGTCGTTGCCGACACTGGAGTTTGAACACAGATCCCAGAGAGCAAACACAGGCGATCCCATTTTGAATAAGTAGATCACATGATAGCAAAGTAAATGTATATATGGAAATTAGCGTGGCGTCTAATTGATCACTCTTTCTACACTATCCTCTATTATCTATACTATTCACTATAGTTCTCTATACTAGTCACTACCTCTATTATTACTCGGATCGCTATTCGGCGGTTACTTTTCGAGCGAGTATTATCGAACAAGTACTATTAGCGCGAGAGATATTCGAAGGCGTCTGACACCAATATTGTTCAATGGCGTTACTATAGTTGTATCTACGATTACAAAGTCTCTACTACAATGAGTATTACGAAAGTGACAGAGTATTCGTTGACAACAAAAAAGTGGCAACGAGTGTTCGTTGACATCACAAAAGTGTGGCAACTGTACACAGAATTATTTATGAAGATCTGGACAGGCGCTAAAATTTGTGTAAAGTTTGTACTCAGGGAACGAGCAGAAGGAAAGGAGCGTTGATACAGCATAGAGATGGTTGGTGGGCATCAAAACTGTCTCCCACACAGCTTTGCAGTCTGCACCTTGTCTGATTGTTCCCCGAGCAGAAGGAAATCCTCAGAAGCAGTCGTTTTGAAGACGAGATAATAATGTTTATAATAAACAGTATTAATAACATTTGCCGGTTAAGGCACGTCAGGCTAAATCACGGTTCCATACAGGATACAGAGAATGTGCAATGTTATTGGTCCTGACCTGGCATCTCGGCTTCAGTTCCTTTCCCACCGCCGTAAGACAGTCTCTGTCGGAGTACGAATATTTTCTATGAAAATTCCTCGGACATCCAGGCCGGCAAATGTTAATACTGTTTATTATAAAACAGAGCATTTACTTAAATATTTGTATCTATAAAAAGAATCTATAAACATAAAAATGTCTTAAAAATAATTGTCGGACTTTGTCCATTTCATAATGTGTGACGTCATTTGTGTACATTTAGATACGCTTGGAGCAGATATGAATGTACGTGAGAGATTCATGGAAGATTGAAGTTTAAAAACAGTAAAATCGACCTTGCTAATCGAATGATTCTCCGTGGCTCGATTGGTTAAGGCACGTCAGGCTATATGACAGTTCCGTATAGGATACAGGTTCGATTCCTGTCGGAGAACGAATATTTTCTATGAAAATTTCTCGGACATTCAGGCCGGTAAATGTTATTAATACTCTTTATCATAAAACAGAGCATTTACTTAAATATTTGTATCTATAAAAATGTCTTAAAACATATATATACTACAAGTAAAAAGTTTGGAGTCACCTTGCATTTCTTTAAAGAACATCTTAAAATGAGATATTTTTGTATATTTTTAAAGTAAAAGATAAAATTTCAATAATTACAGTGTTTTTGCTTTTATTTTGACAAAGAATAAGTACTTATAAAAATATCATACAACAGCATCATATTTTGTTTTCGTCAACAAAACCACCACCTGCCTTAATTACTGCTAATTAGTTCTTGAAATTCTTTCCAACATTTAAAAAAATAGATGGTAGGCCTTCTCAAGCATTCTTCAGTCACTGAAAAAGCTCCCTCTCACTCTTTGGGTATTCTCTTCGAACTCTCATATCCAATTCATTCCTTAGTAATTACATGGGAGAGGGGCCAGGAGATCAAGGCAGTCAAGTCATAATTTCTAAGATTTTGTTCCATTGGATTTCACTCAAGGTAATTTTGACATAATTTGGTGGAGTGTTTTGGATCGAGACGAAAGGTGAATTTTTCAGTCTCCTTATACCCAGCCCCTACACATCATTGCAGACCCACCCCTATGCTTAACTATTAGAACCACATATTCTTCATTCAGTCTTTTCAACTGGTTTTCTTATCACAAACACTCTCCTGTTACTACCCAAAAGTTCAAATTTGGGCTCAATACATTTTGCCACACCACAATACACTTTACCACTCTTTCAATGTCTAGTTCTTATGCTTTTTTCCATAACAGTCTCTTATGATTATTAACCTTTCATAAAACGGGTTTATTGGCTATGGACCCCAACTGCGTCCCGCTTATCAAAGACTATTTTTCCCATTTTAAAGTCACACTGGTTGCTGACGAGAGGAATTAAGTTCAAATGTCAACTCTGAAGCAGTTTTACTTCTATTTCTTTTGCTCCCAATAATCAAGTGTTTATCTTCAGCAGAAGCTGTCACTTTTGATGCTTTAGTACTTTTTCTGTCAATATTTGTGACAGTTTTTAACTGCCTTTGTAATGAATATTGCGCCCCATGTCAAGAAATCTTCAACTTGGCAATTTGTCTTTGAGAGTAGCTTTTGTTGAATAAGATGCCAATTTGAGCCTTCACCTCAATGCTTAGCTGCTTTGATGTTGCCTTTTTGTGCAAAATTAAAAATAAATGTTAAAACTATGAAAATACTGCCGTAATGGCACAATCATGTTTTCTTCAAGCAGAGGCAGCTACATATGTTCTGTGTTAACATGTATGAACCTGTATTAGGGTTTAACTTAGTTGAAAATTTTTGCAATCTCAAAAATGGTACTGAGGGGTTAATGGTGAAAACAAAATATAATGTTTCTCATACAAATATTCCTAATTTAACAAAATTTATTGTGGACATACTAATCAAAATTTGAACTTTTTGGTAGTGAGAGGAACCTGGAGAAAAACTGAAAAATAAAAGCAAATACACTGTAGCTACCGAAATTTTATCTTTTACTTTTAAAAAATACAAAAATATCTAATTTTAATGTGTTTTTTTAAAGAAATGCTGAGTGGCCCCATTTTTTTTTCTTGTAGGATATATATATATATATATATATATAAGATAAACATTGAAGTCAACACTCAGAGGCGACGGGTTGTTTCATGCTCGACGCAATCGTCAGGCTGCCTGACGATTGCGTCTAGCAAGAAACAACCTGTCGCCTCTGAGTGTTGACTTCAATGTTCACTTTTATATTTATATTTACATACGTTCTATCTATGATATTGAGCACTGTATTCCATAAACATAGCACACTTTAAAACTATATATATATATATATATATATATATATATATATTTTATAATAGGTACCTCCACTTGGTCGCGTAAAAAACAGCATAGCATGATGAAAAAAGGACCCAAACACAATAAAAACAAAGCTTTGTCATCAAAATGTTTATGTTATTATTAAGAGGAAAGACCATTTATTTTTATTTTTGGAAATATTTTGCTCTTTTGTAGCATGTTGTAAATTTTGGATAAAAATCATTTTTTTTGCGTCAGCTGCGGACCAAAGATAATGGTTAGGATTTTTTTTGCGTTTTTTCCCGAGGAAAACACACAGTGATTTGGAAATTCTTACAAAATTCAAATAATTGTCGGATTTTAATGAAACTTTCAGGAAATATTCAGAAATAAATTAAATTATTTTTGAAATTTATTTTTTTTGTCTTGTAGTCTCTCCATCTCTCTCTCCCTCTCTGTTTCTCACACATAATTTTCTCTCTTTTTGCATTTCTCCAGCTATCAGTTTGTTCCAATTTCTTTCTATACAGATCTGTTCATCTTTCTTATATTCAATTTCAATTGTAGGTTCCTTTCTCTGTATATTTAGCTATCTCATTCTTTCTCTTTTTCTCAGTCTATCTATCTATCTATCTATCTATCTATCTATCTATCTATCTATCTATCTATCTATCTATCTATATCAGTCTCTTCATATCTATATCAGTCTGTTTCTATCTATCTATCTATCTATCTATCTATCTATCTTTTTTCCTTCTATCTGAGCATCTATCCTCCTTCCTATCTCTTTCGCTCTTCTGATTCCTCTCTCTTTTATCTATCTATCTATCTATCTATCTATCTATCTATCTATCTATCTATCTATCTTTTTTCCTTCTATCTGAGCATCTATCCTCCTTCCTATCTCTTTCGCTCTTCTGATTCCTCTCTCTTTTATCTATCTATCTATCTATCTATCTATCTATCTATCTATCTATCTATCTATCTTTTTTCCTTCTATCTGAGCATCTATCCTCCTTCCTATCTCTTTCGCTCTTCTGATTCCTCTCTCTTTATCTATCTATCTATCTATCTATCTATCTATCTATCTATCTATCTATCTATCTTTTTTTTCCTTCTATCTGAGCATCTATCCTCCTTCCTATCTCTTTTCGCTCTTCTGATTCCTCTCTCTTTTATCTATCTATCTATCTATCTATCTATCTATCTATCTATCTATATCAGTCTCTTCATATCTATATCAGTCTGTTTCTATCTATCTATCTATCTATCTATCTATCTATCTATCTATCTATCTATCTATCACAGTCACTTCATATCTATAACAGTCTGTTTATATCTATCTATCTATCTATCTATCTATCTATCTATCTTTTTTCCTTCTATCTGAGCATCTATCCTCCTTCCTATCTCTTTCGCTCTTCTGATTCCTCTCTCTTTCTCTCTCACTCTTTATCTATCTATCTATCTATCTATCTATCTATCTATCTATCTATCTGTGGCCTTTTATCTGTCACAGTCTGTTCATCTCTATAGGTTCGTTCAACTCTATCTCTCAGTCTGTCCATGTCTATATTTACTCCAATGTGTTTATTTCTCTCTCTATCATCTTTTCACTCCCTCCCTCCCTCCCTCCCCTCTCTCCCTCTCTCTATCTATCTATTTATCTGTGCCTGTTTATCTGTCACAGTCTCTCTTCATCTTTATCGCTTCGTTCAACTCTATCTCTCAGTATGTCCATGTCTATATTTACTCCAATGTGTTTATTTCTCTCTCTATCATCTTTTGACTGACTGACTGACTGACTGACTCTATCTATCTATCTATCTATCTATCTATCTATCTATCTATCTATCTATCTATCTATGTCAAAGGTTTATATTCATATAATAAATTTTAAAATGTAACCTGTACAGTTAATATTAATTAAAAAGATGGCACTGTTCCAAGATTCTAATAGTGTTCTTTAAAATGCAAGCGTGTGTGTGTACTTATGAATTCATGTATGTGCGTGTGTGTGCGTATAAGAGAAAGAGAGAGATAGTCAGTGAGTGTGTGATGCAGTAGTCGAATAAAGTGTTGACAGATAATAAAGTATAGAACGTTATCTTTTACTGTTTTTCTCTTTCCACCTTTCGGCACATTTGCAACTCATAAAGAAATAGTAATAATAGAAACAGCAAACTGAATCAATAAATCACATTATGCTGTTATGTTATCGCGTTTTGGCGGTTCTTTTTTCTTGAATGGCTATTATGTTTAACTAGTATACTACCCATAAAAAATGATGTCATTATATATATATATATATATATATATATATATATATGTAGATAGGCGCTTGAACAAACTACGGAAAATGCGATACTGAAATAGATAAAGATGCATTCCAGAAGCTAAGCAGAGTATTAAGAAACAGAAAAATCTACGTTAGAAACAAAGAAAAGCGTACTGAACTGTTTACTTGATATCTGTTCTCTTGTATTTTGTGTTCCCTTACTCCTATCAATCGGAAAAAAAAAGCATAAGGATGGCGGAAAAGCTAAATAAAAAATTAATTACAGTGATACCTCGGCTTAAGTCGTTTCGAGTTAAGACGTTTTCGAAGATACGTCGGTTTTTCTTAAATATTATATGGAGAAAATAAAACTTACCTTAAGTTGTTTATATATATATATAGAGAAATAATCAAAAACAAAAAATAGCATAATAATGTATGTTCAGTTGTTTTTATTTTAAATTCCAGCCGACAGGCGGCACTCGTGCATCGTTTTCCGCTCCCACGCCGATTTTGAATTCAGACTTGTTTATATCTGTGTTCTGCCGTTGACACTCTTTCAAATACATTTCAATTGTGATTTAGAATACATTTTTGCCCATGCCTTCGAAGAAAAGTCCCAGTGCAAGTGCTAATGTTAAGTGTAAGGCTATATCGCTGGAAGATAAGGTTGAAATTAATTATTTTACTCAAAATACTGTCCGTAAATATCATAAATACTGTAATAGACAATGGGGAGTGTTTATTTGCGGTTTATAGTGTGGTTATTTCGATTTAAGTTGTTTTTCGTGATTTAAGTTGTTTTTCGACCTAAGTCGTGATCCATGGAACCAATTAACGACGTAGGATGAGGTATACCTGTAAATCTTCTTGTCTTCCATATTTAACGAAAGGTGTTTAAAAAAATGTTGATGCCCAAATATACATTAATATACAATGTAACCCGGATATAAGAGACCCAGATATAAGAAAAAACCGGATATAAGAGAGATTTTCTCTGGTCCCAAATTAGAGCCTGTGTTAATCTATATAAAATAGACCAAACCCGGATATAAGAGAAACCTGGATATAAGAGACTTCTTCTCCGGTCCCGACAACTCTCTTATATCCGGGTTACACTGTATATATATATATATATATATATTAGGCATTCGTTTAGTTTATCGCACGGTCGAGATTCAGTCCTGTTTTTGAGTAATGACTGGAGTGGGTGAGCAATCCGATCTTTGTATTGCAGGCACTTCTGCCGTTGTGGCAGAAGTTAGAATGTGGAACGAAGGTTTGATATTGCTGCCACTGCTTTCTGTGTTGTATTGCTTTCGCTTTTTCTCGTTCTTCATGATTCCTTCTTGAACACCATGGCGCTAGCTGCTGAGGTTGTCTGCTAGTTTTTCTCAGATACTTGGGTCGATGCCTGAGAAAGAAAGAAAGAAAGAAAGAAAGAAAGAAAGAAAGAAAGAAAGAAAGAAAGAAAGAAAATGTATCTAAGGAGTAAAAAGAAAAAAGAAAAAAGTATTGAACTGTTACTTGATTATACCTATTATGGTAGCGGATGCTGAACACTCTCCTCCAAGATGAAGAAGAGACTCGGAGCAACACAAATGTTGTTCTACAGAAGGATGCTGACGATACCATGGGACGAACATGTGAGCAACGACGAGGTTAGGGATAAAATGTACACAAAAAGGTAACTTATACTTAACATCAGGAAGAAGCAGTTGAAAGTTCTGAAGCACGTCATGAGGAAGCAGGGTTTGGAAAATCTGATACTCACAGGACAGATTGAGGGAAAGAGACACAGTGGAAAGCAGTGAGTAACATACTTGATGATCTTGAGTAAATGTATGGTAGAACAGAGTTTGGGTTTGTGTTTGGTTTGGTTTGGTTTCTTTTACGAATTATCGGACTCAATGGGTTATTTAATGCCGATAAGAATTTACTGCTGGTAATATTCTTTTCCAAAACTTATTGCTAGTAATAATTTTTCCAAAAATGTGTTGCTGGTATTAAAACCTATTTTTACACTTTCATGGAGAGTGTTAACTATTTGTCCATAGTTGGGACCCCAACAGATGCCACCACCCAGAGTCAAAGTGAACCTGGGAACATCAGCAATTAAGAGGTAGTTCCACGCTCCTCAACCCCCCCCTGATCAGAGGCCTTGCTATCGAATGTAGATTAGCACAGATGTTACAGACATGATTGCTTCAAGCAACTTCATGGTTTTGTTTCTTGTGAGAACGAGAGTGAAGTAGGGTTGTTCTGTACAGGGCTTGGCCTGTTTTGTAAATTCTTTTCAGGTTGCTTGTGAGTGGGATCAGAGTGTTTTCTGTGGGTCTTCTGACGCATATTAAGTTATTCCTAACGTAGTACCCATCGTAAAACATGCGAATATACATACATACATACATCTGTGATGTGCTGGTCACGTCAGTGTAGGAAGTGGAATCAACAAGTTGAGTTCAAAATCCAGTCAGTTTTTCTCAGCTACTTGGGTAGATACCTGAGACACAGATAGATAGATATGAACAGACTGAAATGGATATAGAGATATGGATAGACTTAGATAGCTAGATAATATAGATAGATATGAACAGACTGAGATAGATATAAACAGAGATAGATAGATAGATAGATAGATATGAACAGACTGAGATGTATATATTCAGATGAACAAATGGTGTCAAGATGGCTAAACGTTTTATCCTGTTGAAGATAACATATCGTTGAAATCTTGCAAAAATATACTCAATTAGTTTTTTTTTTAGATATTAAACATTTTGTGGGATGCTGTTACATCAATATATATATATATATATATATATATATATATATATATATATATATATATATATATATATATATATATATCTTTCACTGAAGACGGCCGACAAGGAAGATTTAATTCATCTTTTAAATTTTTTCAGCATTCTAACGTTTTGCCGTTTTTCAGGGGTTAAAAATTATAGCAAATTGTCCATAGTTGTTACTCTTCCGAGCGCTTTAGGCTATCTCTATAGCCACTGTCAAGGATGTTGTTTTGTTATGGTGAGTTTTACGTGTGTCTTCTATATAGAAGTTTAGCCGTGTGGAGATCTGCGAAGGAGTGTATGCCTTTTTTGGTGGTGACTTATCCGTGACTGGTTCATCTGGACATCACTTATGTTTTTATAAAACCTCTAATATGCCGTCTCCACCGCTAAACACTATAAGATTGACAGTGGACTCGTATTTAATCAATGACATGTGTCTCTAATAATGACATGTGTACGACTATGTGATTTGAAAAGGAATTTTTGTTTTACTGACTCGAATTTTCCTTAAAGGTTCTTGTAAATTGTGGGTTAATAAATGTTTATTAATCGCACTGTTTCAAGAAGTGGCATGTAAGGTGTCTACTTAAGGAGGTAATGGTGTGTCCGATATAGGTAACTGGTTTTTGACAAGTAACACAGTCTTGTACTGGGCATTGAAATTGGTACACTATATTGAACACCGCTAGTTTAGATTTGGTGGGGTTATTTTGGTTAGTGACGACAAAGTTTGCAGTGTTCTATTTTCTATATTATAAACTTTACATATTTATCAGGGGTTACAGCAAAAATATGGTGTTTAATAATTTTGCTTATAGTAAATTCGTCCTGCTTATAGTTATTGTGCATCTGGTTGCATTAAAATATGTTGATGTTTTGTGGTATTGTATTTTTATTATTGGTTGAGATAGATTTAAAATCAAACGAATTTCCCACTCACACCACCAGTACAAACACTTATCTTCTAAACTATGATAGCCAATGCCCGGAAAGATATAAAATGTCAGTGATAACAAACTTCTCAAGCAGAGCATTACAAAATTCCTCTTCACAAAAGATATTTCTTAGTGAACTGAGACGGATAAAACAAACACTAGTCAACAATATTTTTTCCCAACTACATAATTGATTAGCAAAAATTATTTTGGCAAAAAATACACGACACCAAAAATAAAAATACTATGAGATTGATGGGTGTGCACTGGGAGGGGGAAGATTGCACGCCTGCGTTCTTGAAAACCAAGCATACGTTTGACACCTTCCAGAGGCTTAGAAGGATTTATCCTTTAACCAGCGGTTAAATAACTTTGCTAGGATTGGGGATGATTCCAGGTTTATATTCTTAAGTACAAACATTAGCTTTGTTAGGGTCAAGGCCTTTAACAGATGTAGAGACTTCTCCTGCTGTGATGGAAATATTACTGAGATTGAACAGGAAGGGGATGGTCTTTGTCATCTAACATTGAGTTAGAGGCAAAGATGGAGACGAAGAGGTTCGCCTTACCTGTCGATAAGGATATGACCTCGGGGTCGTTTATAATTATGGGCACAGCCGCTTTACTTCATGATTTGGTTGGTAACCTTCCAGAATTTACGGGATCCAATTCGATTCTATCGGTCTCCGGGGACTGGCCATTAACTAACTACCTTTAGAAAGGAATTTATGATCGAGAAGACATTTCCGGTGATTCCATAACTGGAGAACTTGTGTACTAAGCCTTTGTGCCACACCTTGTTGAATTCCTTTGAGATATCTAGTGCTATGGTCCGCGAGGCGTGTTTCTCGTCAAGAGCCTCACTGATTCTGTGAATGATGGTAGTTAGGATGTCGGCAGTGGATCAGACCGATCTAAACCCACACTGCTCGTCGCAGAAAACGTTTTTCTTTTCTAGGTGCTCGACGATCTTCTTATTGATTATGGCCTCAAAAAACTTATTGATGATACTGAGGAGAGTGGTGGGTTTGTATTGGGAATGGTCCTTGAAAACCGGGCATACGTTTGACACCTTCTAGATGTTTGGGAAGGATTTCTCCTTTAAGCAGAGGTTGAATAACTTTGCTAGGATTGGGGATAATTCCGGTTTAATATTCTTAAGGACAACTACTGGAATTTTGTCTGGGCCAGTGACTTTCTTAGGGGGTCAAGACCTTTGATACGTTTAGAGACTTCTCGTGCTGTAATGGTAGTATGACTGAGATTGTGCTCAGCGAGATTTGGTAAGCTGAGGAAGGGATGGTCATTGTCGTCTAACGTTGAGTTAGAGGCAAAGATCAAGGCGAAGAGGTTCGCCTTGTCTGTCGAGGAAATATAACCATCTGGTTTCTTTTCAACTTTGGTCTGGACTGCTCGTGCGTAGCCGCGCTTGGCGTTTTCTCGAACTTTTTGCAGAGATTTTGAGCAGTTCTGAATGCAGTGAGTGCCAAACTACATCGCTCCTTGTGACAGATACTGAAATAGTAGTTTTGATGAGTTAAGGTTGTAATGCATTCAGTGGTGAACCAGGGCTGACTGGTTTTTGCTGGAATTCTTTTGGGTATAAAACTCTCTATTCTAAAAAGGATCCATTCAGCGACAAGGGCAGCAGTTTTGGAGGCAGCATGCTTGAAGAAGGTTCAGAGGGGAGCTTCTATCATGTAGGATCGAACGCTGTCCAAGATTGCCTTCGCATAGCAAAAAATCGTTCTATGGAACACTACATCAGGTGTGTCTTAGGTTTGGCATCAATCTGGACGCTGATTAGGGAATAGTCTGACATGCCTGGGGGTGGGGAAACTAAGCATTTATCAGGGCAGGAGGTTAGAAAGAGATCGAGGAGGTTCATCTGATGTCGCGTCCGGGACACGGGTAGGTTATTCGGTGATCTGGGTTAATTCATCGGCGATGGAGACGTCTCTTCAATATCTGCTTTTGATGGAGTGGACTAACCACTGGTGGTGGATATTAAGTCACTGCAGATATGAAAGCTAGTCGATTGAAATTGATGGGGATATTATCAATCTTATCAGATATTCGATCGAAGATTACCGTCTCTTCGTCCTGAAGGCGATAGGAAGCAAAGACGAATGTGGTAGTATGAATAAGTGTTACCCGGAAGCGCATATACGGGAGATAAGTGTCCTCGTTTGTTCGCGTCCCTGTCACAGGGAAACTCGTCCTTGATGTAGGCTCCGAGTCCGTGGGGATAAGGATTTTGGTGGTCGTGTTTTGCTATAAGACCTGGACTGTGAGCTCCCCTTGTCTGCTTGAGGCTTTGATACTGGTTTCAGAAAGTAACAGGGGGTCTGGTTTGGACTGAAGAGGATGGTGTTCCACTTCTGCAAAGTCAGAACGTAGACCCCTCACGTTGGTGTAAGAGATGATATACGTGGGGTCTGCTTTGTTTTTTTTGTTTTTTTAGGTTGGATTTGCTAGTTTTGTTCGTTTTAATTTTGTTTGACTTTGTGTGTGTATTTGGTTGGTGCAAGACGAGTAGGCAGTGAGACAGACACATTCACAAGAGTTGCATGTATAAATAACCTGGAGAAAATTGTTCAGAGATATTACCGTAGCAGTAACATTCATCATGGAATCGAGAGGCCCCACCAGAGACTACTGCATGGTTCAGAAACCACTCACAAAATGGTAGTACAATAGCCCCGATATTATACACCTGCTGATAGGATAGCCTACTTCGGAGTTACTCGAAGGTTCGGATACCTGACTATCAGGCGGATAACGCCAACACAGAAAAACGTCTAGCTCCAGAACCCTTAATGAAGAGACAATCAACCCAGGAAAGAAGATACATAAGTGATGCTCTGAGCGAACATGTCGCGTCTGTCCAGGGGAGACCCTGACGCGAGAAGATCGAACATTCAAAGAAAGTAGCTGTTGTGGATTCCGAGATCAAATTTGATCTCCAATGAATGACAAACGCAGGAATTAAATATAAGAAATAAAATGTATTTGCACAATAATACAAAGGGTAATACTGTTAGTAAATCCAGGAACGCGGTTAGTAGCAATAACATATATATATACAGTCTCGAAGTAGGACATCCTTAGAGTGTACGTGCTTGTAACTGACTTCTACAAGCAGTTACCTCACACTATTACTCTACCTCCAACTCAATCACAATCTCCGTCTTCTTACTCTCTCAATCTCTGTATTCTGACTGACTCAGGGTATTTAACGGCAACAGTCCAAGTAACACTCTGGTCGAGTCCACTTATATGAAAAAGGGGAGGACCCCATAACAGTAGCTGAAAATCGCATACCCTCTTCGGCCGACGTTAAGTGTCCAGACATGAATAAAAAAAATAATAATTTTATGTATGAAAGATCTAGTCTTGAGTTCTAATAAATAAATAAATAGTGTTTATACGACAAAAATGGGTGGGGTTTTCTATTCCATGTTTAAAATTCTAGTTCCTCACATGAAGCGTCATGTGAGGAACTAGAATTTTAAACATGGAAAAGAAGATTCCACCCAAAGACTTAACAGATTCTTAACTTTCTAGCTGATACAAGGTTCTAAGCCTCAACTAGTAGGAGTTGGTGAAACTAGACAATTTTTCACTATTTTTTAATATAGTCCCCCTTGATATCAATGCACTTGACCCAATGATGCTTAAGCATTGCAATCCAATCACGGAAGAAAGTGGGGTCCTGGTTCCCCCCAAAACTTTCTCACAGCACATATGATCTCATTGCTTCCAAAATGGCGACCACGCAGGTGGGATTTGAGTTTAGGAAACAGGAAGATGTCTGATGGAACTAAGTCTGTTGAGTAAGGTCGGGTCGGCTAGCAATTCAAAGCCATGTTTATCTTATTCATCTACTACAACTTGAGCAG